GACCTAGGGTGAATTTTTAAATAGGGACAATTTTTAATGATTTTAAACAAGACACAGCTACAAATATTTGGTTTTTAATTGGCTTTTATAGGGAAATGTTTTTGTATTGTTTTTAATATGCTGTGAGCCGCCCTGAGTCCCATGGAGGAGAAGGGCGGCATATAAGTCTTAAAATAAATAAATAAATAAATAAATAAATTAGGCCACTCCCACTCACCCATGCCCACCTGGCGGCACTCAGATGGCCACGCCTACCTGGTCACGTCCATCTGCAGTGAGTCGTCATAGACCCTGCCCCTGGTGCCTTGAACTTATACCTTCTCCTCCTTGAGCTGGCCACGCAGTTCGTCCTCTTGCCGTTTCTTGTGCTCATGCAGCTCCCGCAGCTCCCGTTCATAGCGCGCCCTCACAGCCAGCATCTCTTTCTCGTGCTGCAGACGGAGATTACTAAGCTCTTCCTTGTGGCGCCCCTTTTCTTGCTGGGTCTCAATGGCCATCTCATCTAGCATGGCCTTGCGTTTCTCTGCTGTCTGGAAAGCACATGCACAGTACTACATCCCACTTCCAATATAACAGGAAAGTCCTGGCAATAAGGAGTCAGATGCAAAATTCCTCATCCCTCTATGCCCCCAAGTATAAGACCAAGTATCCAGGCAGTCCTCAACTTACAACAGTTCATTCAGTGACTGTTTGAAGTTACAACAATGCTGAAAAAGTGCCTAATCACAGGTTTTTCACACTTCAGACCACTGCAGCATCCCCGTGGTCGAATGATCAAAATTCAGAGGCTTGGCAACTGACTCATATTTATGACGGTTGCAGCGTCCCTGGTGTCATGTGATCCCCTTTTGCAACCCTATGGCAAGCAAAGTCAATGGGGAAGCCACATTCACTTAACAGCCGTGTTACTAACTTAATACCTGCAGTGATTCACTTAACAAGTGGGGTATGAAAGGTTGTAAAATGGGGCAAAAATTCACTTAATAAATGTCTCCTTACCAACATGAATTTTGGGCGCAATTGTGGTCGTACGTTGAGGACCACCCGTACTTTAGTTTCAATAAAAGAGAATATTTGTAGCACAGGGTTGAACTGTGAGGTCCTTGGTGGAAAACCCACTTCTTTCTAGCGCTGATGATGTTACTTAGGTAGTGAAATGTCTACAAGAAAATAACCAAGAGTGCCAAGGACCCCATACTTTAGTTTAGTTTATAAAGACCAACCACATAAAGGTGGGGTGCAGGCATATAATATGTCCAAGGTTTTTGTTAAAAGGTTGATAACAGAAGTGCTGTTTATCCTGAGAAGCATAAATGAAATTTGCATTTTGAGACCAAAATGCTTGGCTTCTTTAAAAACACAAAGCACTAATTTCTAGTCTTCACAGTTGCACTGAGAAATTTCAAAAGTCTATGGGCTCTTTCCAGAGAAAGTCAGAAAAATCAGGCAAAAATGGAACGGCTTTCTTAGCCAGCAGATATCATTTTAACATCTTGCAATGTTCCCCTAGGTCAGGGGTAGTCAACCTTGGCTCTTTTATGACTCGTGGACTTCAACTCCCAGAATTCCTGAGCCAGCATAAGTCATAAAAGAGCCAAGGTTGCCTATCCCTGAGCTAGCTGCTCTTCTTCTTTCAATGTCCTTATCCCATTCCTCCTTGTCCTTTACTTTCTTCTATTCTTTTTTGCTCCAAATTTTATGAGCTTCTGCTCATAAACGAAATACTGAATCATAGTTAATTCAGAGTAGAAACTTGTAAACCCTTATTTGGCATCCTGATTTAAGGGATTTTTTGCCAAATCGTAGTGTGCTTTGAAGACAAAGGAAATTAGTTTAGAAACCTAAATGCAGAAAGGGAGAAAGAAGCAGGCCATAGTCTGGCATTCTTCTGCTCATATACAAATGTCAAGCCATGATTGTAGTTGTCTGAATGAGCCATAATGCATACCTCCGCTCTAGCTTACCTTCCTTACTTCATCAAACTCTTGTAATAATCTCTCCTTTTCCTGCCCAAGTTCTTGAACTTGCTCCATAAGACGAGCATTGCCCCGGAGTGACTCCTACAATAAAAGGTGAAGATAATGAAAAATCCTATCTTCTAAAACAACCCTTTTGTTTATCTGCACCACGGTTTTGTCAGAGGCTGTCCATTGCCTCTGACAGAAGGCAACAACACCAAAAACATTTAAACAGAGAAGAACTATCACAAAACAGCCCTGGCCCAAACCCATATTATTGAAATATCAAAAGGATTATAGTAGCCAACTACATAAAGCACTTTGAGCATCCCACTTCAATTCTACATCTATGCTAAGCCCTTTGAAGTAAGAGTGAAAACGGGAATTGGTCGGGTGAATTACCTAGCCTCCTTTCACACTGACAAATTTAAAATAGATTCAGGATTAAAATACCAATACCATTTGAAATGAAAGTATATGGTACATTGGGAAGAACTTTGCTAACACACCAAAACGGGGTCCGGAACCTAGGTAGCAGTTGGAAGGGCAACAAGAGTAGGAGGAAGTGATCGGTAAAGGCAGAGGTCCCCAACCTTTTGGGCACCAGGGACCGTTTCTGTGGAGAGAGGTTTTTCCGCCTGCCGGAGGGGGCGGGGTTTTTGTGCTGCCTGCATCCTGCGGATGTGGCTTTGCTTGTTTGTGCGGACCGGTTGCTGGCATGCCGCAGCCTGGTACTGGTCCACGGACCGGGGGTTGGGGACCCCTGGGTAAAGGGATCAAATAATCAGAAGGCGAGTGTAAAAAATGAAATCACTGGCAAGAGGGTGTGAGGAGTAATAAAATAATCCTCTTGTACCATTAATATTTACCTTCTTGTTCCTTCTTTCTCTCCATGCCATAAAGGTTCGAAATGGGGCATTCTGCATAGTGTGCTCAGGGGCGATAGGAGGAAGGAAATACAGGATGTGCAAAGAGCTGGCTGGGCCTTGTAAGCAGCAGCCTTGTGCTTGGGGCTACCACAGGGCCTATATGGATCTAATGCCTTGGCCCACCTGCAACTGTGTGTTGAGGTCATCCCACTGGGCAGCCAACGCCTCCTTCTCATTCTGACGCTGCTGCAGCTCATCTCCCAATGCTGCCACCTGTTCTCGCATCAGATTCATTTCTTGAGTCTTAGATGTCTGGATCTACAGGGCAAGAATGCAGCAGGGCAAGAGAGGAAGGAGAAAGTTAACAGTCCTTTCAGAAAAATCACATGGCACTCTGGCCTACCCTCCAAAGTGCAACCTTTCAACAATGTGGGTTTTTTTTTCCTTAAAAAAGAACTACAAACCATAGATTCCCCCCCCTCCGCTCCTCATACCCAAGCACATTTCCACACGCTACTGAGATCTCATGTATTTTTTTTTTTATTCTTTTGGTTTCACAAGAACATTTTTAATTCACTCTATGGGTAAAAATGAATGATGCTTCCGATGTTACCCATTGCAGACAATCATCTGATTTCATGCTTAATTAAAGTTTACAAACCAGCTTCAAATTCCAGTGACAACAGGGATTATTATGATTAATTATAATGGGTGCACACACACATTACTTAACAACAGAACAATCAAAGGAAATGAGAAATTGGGAGAACTGAAAGGCTTTGCCATTGACTCCTAGTCTTCTAATCTTGGACAGGATTGTCATCTCTGTATTAAGCCTCATTAGTTTAAACTCTATGAAAACCCACAGAAAAGTGTTTTTAACGCAGATGAATTTTAAAATATTTTTGAGGTGCAAATTAGCCTTTTTTCATTTTTTTTCTTTTTCTTTTACTTAGTCTACATTCCAGAATGTGGAACTATGGGATTTGATATAAATTATGCTAATTTGTAGTCAAATAAGAATTCTTAGCACCAGCACATTTTTATCGGTTTCGCGTAGGATTATCAAAATATTCAGAAATGCAAAGTGATTTCGGACTAACCAGGTTTTATTTTAAAAAGGTAAATTATAGATTTTATAATTATGTTATCATTTATAACTTGCCTTTAAAAACTAAAACTTGGCTAATCAGAAATTGATCTGAGCTTTTGGTCTACTGAAAGGAAAGAATTCATAAAGAAGTCTGTGGCACTATAAGCATGAAACATAGTGTAGCTCTTGCAATATCACAGATTCCAAGGGTTTTATGCCCATTTTTCTTTAAAATGTAATTATTACCCAAAAAGTGCTTAAATAGAGATTGCTTTCATTCATGCAATGACATCATACAATATTCTAACAACCTTTTCTCCATATCCTCTTCAACCAGTTTTCTCCAATCTACCGTACAACTCCCATAATTTCCAACTAGCATGTCTTACATCTAGAGTTTGGGAATGTTGATCTATATCAAAGTGTTGGAAGAAGTGTCAGGTCTAAGGTAATATGCCAATAATGGCACATTTTCATACAGCAGATGTGACTGTTGGCACAATCTCCTGTCCATGTCTTAAGCTAGGAAAAAGGAATTTTATCCTGTCGTGAATGACAAATCTAACATCTGTGATATTTTCATCGTCCTCATCATCATAGCTCCTACTCCCCAAGGACACACACACACACACACAGAGAGAGAGAGAGAGAGAGAGAGAGAGAGAGAGAGAGAGAGAGAGAGAGAGAGAGAGAGAGAGAGAGAGAGAGAGTTATGATGCAATCTCAATCACTTTCTTCTAAGATGACACAGATCATTTCACAGCAGGACAACACAACTGACTGTAACAGAGCATTCTCCTCAAGAACTTACATGCTTCTTGTTTTAGACAAGCGAAGAGCATGTGGAATTCCTGTTGTTTAAAGGCAGGAAACAAGTAAAAATTGTAGGCTTCATATAGGCTTAACCTAGGTTTTTTTTTTTTAAACCAACTCTTCCATAGCCTAGAAAAAAGAAATCTGGGTCCCAAATCTGTCTACGACACAGTCCTGTCTAGTGTTACTGCCACTTTCATTGCAACTCTTAGCCACTCAAAAAAGATGCATGTCCCTGGGCTTAAACAGCTACTCATCCTTGCTCAAGAGAAGTGCTCTGTTGTTGTGCACTGATGAAGTGAGATGAATAAGTTCCTTGAACCAGAGTCAGTGTGGTATAGCAATTAAAATACCAGACCAGGCTTGGAGATACTAACATTCAAATTCCCAGTTATCCATGAAGATTAGAAGATGGTTTGGTACCTGTCTATTGTTACCCTATCTAACTCAATAGGAAAGGTTGAAAATGCACGCACATCTCTCATACACAGTATACTGGATGAAGGGAGGAATGTAAATGCAATAAACAGGAATTCTTCACCACCACCACCATTGTTGCTGGTCATTTAGCCTCGCTTATGCTGTAAATGTAATACACATGCCCTCCTTGTAAAAATGCATAGTTACACCCTTTAATTTCATCACCCTCAACGCCACCTTCTATGCCCTCCAACCACTTGGCTCACAAGACGGAACCTGGTACCTGTTCTAATGCTGCAAGGTTGGTTCTCAGAGCATCATTTTCAGACAGAATGGTCTCAACCTGTTCCTGGCTCTCCGCACTTTGGCACGCAACCTGAGGGCCCATAAAGGACAGAATAGGCAACGGAAAGGAAGGAAGGAAGGAAGGAAGGAAGGAAGGAAGGAAGGAAGGAAGGAAGGAAGGAAGGAAGGAAGGAAGGAAGGAAGGAAGGAAGGAGAGGCAGAAGTGGGGGGGAAGGGGAGAGCAAAAGCGGTGGGGGGAGGAAGGAGAAAATAAGGATTAAAAATAGAGCAAAACATGGAACTAGCAGTCTTGGGCAAGGGTTGTGATTGGTTTTTATTTTGTTTTTAGAGAAAGCAAGCTTAGAAACTATTTTTTTTAAAAAAAGGCACATCAATTGCTATGAAAATAAAGCAATTAACAAAATGAAGCACATTTCAGTTATCAGGACAAGAACACAGTTATTAGAGACTCAACATAATCGCCAAACCTGTTTGAGAAAAGAGGAAGGTTAAAACAAGGAAAGCAAATTAAGAGGAGGGGAAAGCCCTTGGGAGGATGGGAATCTAAGAGAAGAAATGGAACAATTAAATAGAAAGGAAGAGAGTAATTTCAGTGTTAAGTTCCTAATACTATGGTCTATCAGGACGGGTCTCCTGGGTAGAAACTCCCCACCTTCAAATAAATAATTCCGCCAACAACTGACTTACTGTATACTATGAGTGAAGCAATGTGTGCAATCATTTCAGCTGTAAATTACTGCATTTGAAGGGAAAAGATTTCCAGAAAATATTCAGATAAACTGATGGGCCTGGGTTAGGCCCTTCCACCCACAAATCGATCCTCATTGTCTGTAATTTCCAAAGCAATGTTAAATTGCAGTGGCCCTGAATATTAAAGTATTGTACTATTAAATAAGCGGCTCTTAGTCAGGCTTAGTCAAACCTACAAAGTATAAAAGAGTGTGTAGTTGTGCTCAAGCCAAGAACAAAGTAGAACCAAGGGCTGTGACTGACAGGCAGATAATGTTAGGAGCTCTGTCAGTTACATTTTGACACACAATGTCATTTTAAGTACATATTACATTCCTCCGGCATGATCTTTTTCTGTATATTTTCTGCACATTTTTATTCTCCCAGGTATTCCACACGCCGACATCTTTTTCCAACCACACTTGCTAAGAACCAGTGTGTTCCACCATTTAGAAGTAGACAAACCATAATCAAAGAAGCTAAATATGCTGACAGAATTTTAACAGACTTGAAGGAAACCCCCAAATCCAATTCATGAACCAGCGTGTAGTGGAGTGAGGAAACTAGTCACATCCATATGTGTAATATGAGCCTGCCCATTTTAGATCATTACCCTACGTTTTGTCCATAGTCCCCCAAACTCTGTTTAAACACAACACTTGCTATGCTACTAGGGAAACCAGGACACTTCCAGATGCTAATCTGATAGGTAGCCAGTCAAACCTATTTGGCCTTTCTTATTAAGTTAGTTAGATTGGTATGAATCAAAACCTATCCCACAAAAGTATTAATTCAATCAATCACACATCTAGACCAAGATGCTCAAGATTTAACAGTTTTCTAATGCTTTGAGTTTCACAACCAGGATGGTCCTGCCTGTATAAGCAATGGTATACAATTAAATACAGCTTTTATTTATTAAAAAGAGTAAAATCTTTAACATTGTGAAATATGAGTTGGAAATGTATTCAAGAAGCACATGCTGAAAATTCCCAAAGATGAAGATTTCTAATGATTAGAGAAGGCCCAGCATCAGTGACTCAGTGACGATACCTATGGCCTATGGCCGAAGTCCATATGCCAAAAGAATCAACCTGTGATTTGCTAAAGTGTTGCATAGTCTTTTCAAAATGTCAGCTCTGACTAAAGAATAAAGTTTAGAATGTACCCTAAATGTAAGTTAAAACAGACAGGATGTGAAACTCAACTTTTAGGAAAAGAAATCCTTTAGAGATTTTAAAAATCAATACACAATAGCAAAAAATTAAAAACTGAAAATTTAAGAAACAGCCTCTTTTCCTACAAAAACGTAATAAGTAATTAGGTAGTCTAATGAACAGATTCACTGAATATATTTCTCCCTCACTTTTTTGAATAAGTCATTATGAGATAGCATACAACAATTAAAACAAGGATACAACCATAATCTCTGATCCTGATACACAAGGTGATAAGGACGAGCACAGGAGTGGTTGTAGGAAGCACAAACTGTGTGGTATGAGACATTATAACTCTACTTTTTAATTATATCATCCTGATGACCTTTTCTGATCCGTTTATTAAAGATCTATGGTATTTCTGGAAACAATGAAGTTCTTTATCTAATGATAGTCCCATTTTTTTCATCAATAATGCTGTTTTCATTACTATGCTGTATATTTGGAAAATTAAACTAATGTGAATGCACTGAATTTGGATTGACAGTCCATCTTGGCCAGAGCTTATCCGACAGTTAAGAATATGTTTTTGAATTAGAAGTTTTTCCCAGTGAGAAAATACTAGAAGTAGAGCCAAATATGAAGAACAAAGGCGGGGAAAAAAAAGAAGTGGAAAGAGAAGGAGGATTCGGAAAGAATAAAACTCTTGGTAATTGTATATGATTATGATCCTGAATTAAGTAAATCAGAAATTCTCATTTATAGTTTTATTTATAACTTACAAAATAATTATAAGTTATCAATAAAGAATAAATAGTAAGGAGGGATTTAATCTCACATGAGCATGGCACAATTGATTCGCACATTAATTGGCTTTATGTTCCTATCTGAATATCTTCCAGGGAATTACAATATTATAGCAGACAGCCTATCTCACCCTCTATCTGGCATTTTGACAAACAATATGAAAATATGGATGAAAATATAATTGCACAAATAGCTTCAACCACTCAAGAGTGACTGCATTTTCAGAATGGACAGCAGTTTTGAAGGACAATGATATACTTTTGACCCAAAGTATATTATCATCCAAAGATGGTAATGCAATGTTCAAATATTAGAACTTTTATGATCATACTAGACAGCCTGTCACCCACGGGGCCATCCTTACTGGACTCCTCAATGACTCCAATAGTGACAGAACTGCTAATATCCAGTCTTCACTGGAATTGAGAGATTTATTGGTCTTGAAAATAGCCCACGTTAAACTGTATAGCATAGTTAAACATCAGCACAAAAAGTGTTTTATGACGTTTTGTATTAATGTTTAATAAAAGTTGCCAAATTTCAAATTCATGGGAGTCATGGTCTCAGATTTTGGATGCATTTTGTAAGTTAGCCCATTTGAGGTATTTTGGGTTAACAATTGTTACCCTATGATGCACTGTTTTGCCCAGCTGATGGTTATTGGAATGAGAGTTTTTGTAGTATATAGATCTATAAGCGGCAGGTAAATTATCCATTTACAATGTTGAGGAAGATGTAAACAATACCAGCTAGACCTACAAAGGTCCCAGGGCATCATGTTCAAAACACATTCCAGATAAAACTGCTAGTGTTGTGCACACTGAAGAAGCACACTGAGGAACCAATCTGGAATTGAGAGACAACCATTCCATCCAAGTTTAATAAATTATTATTATTACTATTACTATTATTATTATTATTATTATTATTATTATTATCTCCAATAGGGATTCCCAAAGAGACCAATGAGATAATTTTGCTTTAGAATTAAGGGAACTTTGAATAATTAAACTGGAAAAGATAATGGTGCTATAGTTTGAAGAATTATTTTCTGAAGAATAACTACAGATGAAATATCCAATTCATGGCTGCTATGTTTTTTTTTTCAGAAAAGAGCTTACCTGAAGAAATAATGGTTTAAAATGGACTACTGCTTACTTCACTTGAAGTAGAACAGCACTTCCATCACAATGGCATACAACACAAAACTGTGACCAAGAGGAAATGGCTTAGGGAAAGAATAACCAAAGTCGTAAAATAAATTTTACAATAAACTATGATCCAATACCAAATTGGAAGAAGCTACAGCCAATCTAGGAAATCCCATCTGCCTATCAAAGCACATGGCTAAGAAGCTGTAAGGCCTCAAAAAAGCATCACTGGCAACATCTTACAAGGTTTCCCATAGCAACTCATTGTGAGGATGAAGTTATGTGTAATTGTGCCCAGAGAAACAGCATAGACTCAAGCAACATTTGAATCTTTAAAAGGGAACCACAGAATACAGCTTTCAAATAGAACTTGGATTATACTTGAAATCAGGACCCCACAATCCAGGGGCACACTGCATTTTGGTGGTACATTAGGGGTGGGTGGGCTGGAGGTCATCCCCTTCCTACATACACACATAGATATAATTTTTATTAAGAATGTTTACTAGAATAGTAAAATCTAATACAATATAAAGCAGGGGTAGGCAAGCTTGGCTCTTTTATGACTCGTGGACTTCAACTCCCAGTATTCCTGAGCCATCCCATGCTGGCTCAGGAATTCTGGGAGTTGAAGTCCACGAGTCATAAAAGAGCCAAGCTTGCCTACCCCTGATCTAAACTTAAAGAAAGAGAATAGAATAGAGTGCAAGGAAAAAGAAAAGTAAGAATATAATCAAGAAACAGCAAAGATTTTTTTAATTCTTAAGATTATGATTAAAATATATTTAGTTCAGGATTAAAGGGACAGACTCATCTGGCGCTTTCAAACTTGTTATTCCAAAGGTTTCTAATAGCTTAAAAATAGTTAGCGAGGAATTTCCAAAAGTGATTAGAAAAAAAGGTTTACGAACTTAAGTGTCCTTTAAAAAAGTCTCTGCTGCAGTTGTGAACAAGAAGGCTAATCCCATTGTCTTTTGGTGTTCAAACCTGCGGAAAACCACTATCTGTACTGGTAGCCCTCAACTCTGGATCACAGTGGAACCCTTAAAATCCCCTGAAAAAAAATTAGCCTCACCTATGTTGACTGCATCATGACATCACCAATTTCCTGTGACTGGAAGGAAAAGGTGCAACTCTCAGAACTTCAAATATTCCCCCATCCCTGCTTTAAGATGAGAAAGTGGGCTTTCAGTACTGTGGACTTGGATGAATTATCTGAAATCCAAGGCGATCCAGTTATATTATGTGATGGGAAATAGAATACTTAGAGTATGTAAAGTATATCCAAGCATATCTCAAGATAACAGCTGACTTCAAATGAGGGTGTTAAGGGTGTATTTTGCTCCATTTTCTAGCTTTGGCATTGCTGAAGACACAGGAGGCAGAAAATTGATAGTTCTGAACAAGTCACCAACTGATCCTGCAACAGAGAATATAGAAATCCAAATACATGTGAAAGATAAGCAACCACCCGAAGGATTAAAACATTTCATTTTTGAAATTTTAGTTGAACGTTGCAATCCTTGCAACAGGTAATAATAGCAACTCTCTTAGGAATGTCCGTATCTCCTGCTTAAAATAAAACTGATGAACTCTTGACATGTGAAAATCCCTTGGAGCTACATAGTCCATTCACCAGAGAAGAATTACCCTTCAGAACAAAGACTTGCAACTAGGTCTTTGTTGATCAAATATTGTAAATCAAAAATCAATGGAAGGCGGGTGAGTCACTTTTATAGTAAGGAATTAGCCTGAAGCATTGCCCAAGAAAGGTTGGGGAGAGGAGGATCAAAGGGAGAATAACATACAACAATAACAGCTCAAGGAGAAATTGAATGGCATAAAGGAAAAGAAAAAGAAATCTTCAGACTATTTCATACTAAATAGCATCTGAATTTAACGAGTGTTCTGAACTGTATATTTTCAGAAAGAAAGAGCTTATCTAGTACACATTTATATATACTGTTACCTAGAAAATTCTAAGTTTTACATCATCTGCTCCTTGGATGAAATTAAGCCTAAGGTAGCAAGTTGTGCAGAAGAAATGAAGATTCTGATACAATATTCTCAAAATAGCATGGCCCCCAAATCAACAGGTAAAACATGTTGAATATTCTCTCTGGAGAGACTTACAATGTAAATTTGGTATATAAAGTTAATACTGACAAGGAGAACATACCAGAAAGAGAATGTGCATCAAAGTTCCCTTAAAAATATGGGCAAAGCTTGATTGATGCAGTGGCGTTTTCCCAATGCCTACTTTTTCAAAAGATTTAAGCCAATTGGATTGATTTTAATTGTTTTTATTTGCCCTAGGTTGAGAATGGAGAAAATTGGAATTTAATTCTTCTCCACAACCTTGAGATAAAAAAAACCCTTCTTCCCTACCAGCATGACCTCAAAACCTGAAATTACTTTCCCTTTTCATTCAGAGCCATCAAGAATGACCCCATTTAGAATTAAAAAGAGATTATGAATGGAGAAACTTGCACCATAAAAGAATTAAGATCACTGAATGAATACTGATACCATGTGCATTGTATCATTTTATTACAAGGGAAGATACCAGCAGTGCTCTCCAGATTATTTGAACTCTTCTCCCATCACTACCACCATGGCCAAAAATCAGAGATTATACAAGTATATTGTTACATTTCAACTCAGTATCACAATAAATCTGGGTTTTCCACGCTTTCAACTCTTTATACTGAAATTAGTTTCTTCATTTGGAGACTTTCAGGAGCAACTCAGCTAGTGTTGGCAGAATATATATACAGCACACAGAACCTACATATATGTCAATGCTCTGGTTTAAATTCTAGGGATCTGGGATCTGTTCAGATAACAATTCTCATTAACGGCTACTCTAGCTTCACATTTCTTCTTAAATACTTAACAGCATTATAGATTTTCCCCATCTTTTGCAGACTGTAGGATGGTTCGCAGCTCTGCTCTGCTCCTGATTGTGCAATAATGGATTTGTCAGATTTGTATGCTGTTGAATCAATACAGCAGCATACAAATATGATAAGTCCATTCTCACATCAGTTTACATAAGATCAGTGATTAAAATTTCTATGCTAAACAATGTAACTAAAATGTCCATCGTAAAATGTCCATGGTAACACATTCAATGGTAAACAAAATAAAGAACATTGCAAAAGATAAAATAGACACTGGTTGATTATAATCTCATTGCCATGTATAAACTCAATATCACAATGTACGACTATAACTACACATACAATTTATATTCAATCAATGCACATACAAGACAATCATCATCCACAAAGGCCCTTCAGTTCTGATTCTCTTACAAGGAGCATCCTAGGAACACAATGCAGGGGGACAATCTTTGTGTTGGGAGGACAATACGTGAACTCAGGTTCATAGCAGATAACTGCCTTCTACAACCTTCTGACACTTCAGCAGATTAGCACAATTTCACATTTACATATGCTTATGACTAAACAAGACATCATTCAAAGGAAGAGAGGATCGCTAAGAGGAATTCATTCAATAAAGCAACAAGGTGGCCTTGTCTGAAATTGCATCATTTTCAGCATGGAGCAAATGAATGATATAAACCCATTGGATACAGTGTCTGTCTCCCCACTGACACTAGAGATGTATTCACAGGGCAGTGATACAACAGCTTCCTTGGGGTGGGGAGGGGGTGCTTTAGTTTTATAGCAAGTTTTCATTACTTATATTTAATTCTTTTGGAGTATTAGTTCAACAACTGCCACTAGTAGTGTTCATATTTTAAGTCCCAGGTTTCTCATTTTTTTAGCTGTTGACTTCCATACCTAGAGAAACATTACAATGCAATTTCATATCAACCTCAATAGGTTTTATTAGGTTCAGTTGGACTTACTGCCAAGGAAGTATCCCTAGAAAGGTAACCCCATCCCCACCAGCAAATTCAGATTTTTTTTTATAAAGTACCAAGGAGACATAGCGTGCTCTGCATTCAAAAATATACTTGGGAAAGACAGACTGAGATAAAATCATACTGGGTCAACGTAATTCACACGCCCACACATAGAGTATGGCAAGAATAGGAACAGAATGCCAACATGCAACTTACTGAATTAAATGGAAAGGATAGCAGGCAAATTACTTTATGGAAAGTAAGATCACAGTGCCAAAAAACCCCAGATGAATCTCTACTGAACTCAGTGAGCAAGCAGAGGCAGGTTGTATCAATCCTGCAGCTAGCCAACCCATTTGCCCGTCAGCCATCTGGCTTGCTTTATTTATTTATTACCCACATCTTTATATGTGACTTATGACCACATGTCTTAAGAGTACACAATCTAAAAACATCCACAAGATAATACATAATAGGAATGTAACATAACATGAAATCACTATGGTGATTTTGAACGCCAGCAGGCAGTCCCCATCCACCCCCAATCTTCTGTGGGACGAGCACTTGAAGCACCCTCTCTCTGCTTCACACAGATTCTACCTGGAGGAAAAGAGCCCAGAGGTAGCAAGAGTTTAAGTGTATAGAGCTTATATGTAATCATCAGCATCTGAATTGGGCCAGAGGCCAACAGCAACCAGCTCCCATAAAATAGGGGTTATTCTGCTGAACTGGCTAGTACTAGATAGCAAGAAGACAGCTGTATTTGATGCCAGCTGCACTTCGGAATCACTTTCAAGGGCAGCCCTATGTAAAGTAAATGAGAGAAGTCTAGCTGAGAGATAAGGCACTGTCTTTAGTACCTCCTGATCCAGCTGGTGTTATCTGCCAGAGTTGGTCAAAGGCCTCCTTTTTTTTTACATTTCAGGCTTCACTAAGATAATTCATTCTAAATGTTTCAGATTCCTATTAGCCTCAATCACTTGGCCAATGATCAGGGATGATTAATAATTAAGGAAGTGCAGTTCAACCATCTACAGGACTTCGGGTTGACCTATGTCACAGGATCACAGGAGAAAACTACAAAACATAATAGCAAGCACAGATTTTTTTTTACTTCAAAAGGTCGCGCATCTCCAGCTTTTATGATTTGAGGAACACTTTATCATTAAAAAAACGAATCTTTGTCCATCCCTACAAAAGCAAAATCAGAATTCCACATTTTCTAGAACTCCTAATGCCAATGTTCTCAAATGGCATAATTAACACAAACCATATAATTCTGCTTCTTTGGTGGCAAATATGAATCACACTATAACAGGGGTAGGCAACCTTGGCTCTTTTATGACTCATGGACTTCAACTACTGATCAAGGAGAGAAGCAACCTAGAACTAAGGAGAAACTTCCTGACAGTTAGAACAATTAACCAATGGAACAACCTGCCTCCAGAAGCGGTGAATGCTCCAACACTGGAAGTTTTTAAGAAGAGACTGGACAGCCATTTGTCCGAAATGGTATAGGGTTTCCTGCCTGAGCGGGGGGTTGGACTAGATGACCTCCAAGGTCCCTTCCAACTTTATCATTATTATTATTATTAATTGCTGGATCAGGAATTATGGGAGTTGAAGTCCACAAGTCATAAAAGAGCCAAGGTTACCTACCATGGCCCTATAATAAATAAACTTTGAAACCATATAGCTCTGGTAAAAACTAGAATTCATTCAGGGAGCTCTCTGGGTATCTGTTACTTCTAATGCAATATACATTTTATCATCTTACTTCAAGAACAGGCAGAAGTGTATATGCCTATGCCTTTCATACTCCATTAGTTCCAGCACCCCAGTACGGCTTGAGACTGATGGGAGCTATAAGACCAACCTCCCGAAGGAGAAACAGAGATTCAATCCTCTGCACAGGCCTACAATATCAGAAAGTAAACATCTCGCCAAAATTATAGTTTGAGGCAGATCAGAGGAGGGCAGGCAGGTAGAAAGGTCGCTCACCTGGTCCTGCAGAGTCTGAAGGGCCAATTCATTTTCTTTTTGACAACTCTGCAATTGGTCCTTTAATTCCAAGAAGCCCTGAGAAAGAAGGAACAAATTTACCAAATAGAATGTTAATGGAGGATTTCACTGTTGCATTAAATTCCACTAGGATCACACCCTAGATCAGGCATGTCAAACTGTCGGCCCACGGGCCGGATGCGTCACACTGAAACCGCACCCACCCCATTGCCGGCAATGGGGAAAAAGTCATGATACGTTGCGTCGTGAGTTTGACATGCCTGCCTAGATGGAGACAACCATGCCCATAAAAATTATCAGGTGGAATCAATAAACCTCAGGACCATTAAAAAGATAGAAGCATAGATTCTTCCCTTTCTTAGGGAAAACGGAGAGGGGGAAACAAATGGCCCATTATTGTTAGCTATATTTATGCTTTATCCACTTTACGAGTCTATGGCATTTCCTCCAAGGAATTGCGGGAACTATATTTCTATGGCTATGCGATAGTAGAAATTTATCTGGTGAGTGGGACAACCTATACATATGATTTATAAACCAGCGAACAACCCCTAGCTCTGTCATCTTTCTCATACTTCTCAAGCTTCATTGGGGAAAATTGTGGCAGTTAAGCCCCCAAAAGACAATCATGCTTTAGATCAGCAACCTTAAGACGTGTGGTCTTGCTGGCTGAGGAATTCTGGGAGTTGAAGTCCACACATCTTAACATTGCTGAGGTTCAGAAACACTGCTTTAGACACCGAAAGGCCAAAAATTATTCTCAATGTACAGGTTAGAGAACCAAAGCTGAAAAGAACTGGGCAAGAACACAGCTAGGCTTTTGCATCTAGACCTCTCAAATGATAAAACTAAACACTTTCGATCAAGAGGTTTTCTTGCTGATGGAGCCAAGCTCCTGGACATGCTTTCTAAATCTGACGAATCAGGTCTCTTTAGCCGTGCCTTAAATGTAACTCAGACTGAACTACAGGAGAAGGAAAAATGCCTTTTACCTGGTTTGTGGTCTGGAGCTCCTGCTGCAGCTTCTGATTACGAACTTGCAGAGATTTGAGCTCCTCTTCCTTCCGCTGTTGGATCTCCCCAATTTTGGTCCTGAATAGTGGAAGGGAAAATTTGTTTGCAGAGGAGAAGGAAGTCAGGGATGTTGCTTTCTTCTCCTTAAGCTGCTCTGTTGTCTTTGGGTAATTCTGCTGGCTGTTTCAATCTCCTCTCTCACCTCCCTACTTTTGGAGGAAATGCCTTTTTCATTCCCATCTCATCCGCTCATCCCCGTTTCCAGTTTTATTATTATTTTTATTATTGTGTTTATTATGTTATTATTATTATTTATAGAATTTTTTAGAGTTTTAAGTGTTTTTTAGAGTATTAACCTTGTGAACTCTAAAGCTTCCTCCTTCCGTTATGTATTCAAGATGGACAGTGATTAATATTTATATGTTACTTATATGTAAGGGTGTAAGTCTATACATATGTTGTATATAGTATGTTTAAATGTGTGTTATGCTTGTGTACACTTTGAGAGCAAGCAACTAAATTTCATTTTTAATGTGTGCCATTGTGCCCACAGTAAAAAAAAAATGACAATAAAGGTTATCTATTTCTATCTATCTGTTTTATTGCTTGTTTTCCCAGGAATACTGTATGCTCCTTTCCACACTTTCTCCTCAGCACCCACCACTGCAGCAGGTTATTCATCAAAGCACTTTTAACACCATTACTGCCCAGCGCTCCAGCTCCATATCCAGTTTCATTTTCAGTTAAAACCTGTGCCCAGCTGAGGCAAATTTCCATCAAGAAAAGAAGCAAGAACCTCCACTTTTCACCCATGCTCAACTCTGGGGACTTTCATGGATACATCCAGGCTTTCTAAGCAGTGTAACGAAAGTGGTTTGCCACTGCCTTCTTCTAGAGTACTCAATTAATTCAACGTTGAAATCTGGCCAACAGCTCTGAGCCTCCCAGATGGTCCCCCATCGAAACAGTAATTAAGACTAAGTTTGCATAGTACTCAAGACCAGCCAAGGTTAGCTAAGAGGTACAACACTGGATCTAAATTATGCACATGTGTCTAATCTATTCTGTATCAGGGTCTGCTTTACACAGATCATTTGTTTTTGCTAAACAGGGGAGAGATAGACTGGCACTCTTGAGCGTAGAGGCCCTGCCTCACCTACCCACATGGTTTAACATTGCTTCGTTCAGCTACAGTGTAATCTGTTATTTTATTATCTAATTTGTTATACCATTATAATATCCGAAAGCCGTACTGCACGGCTTAAATAAATGCCATGAAAATGGGGCCAGGGATCATTCAAGAGGCTGGGAAGAAGGGGAAGAGTCCCAAGGCTTTCTGCTTACTTAACCGGGCCCACTTCAGACCGGTCAGGCATGAGTGCAATTCATTCCACGCCATCAACAGGCTTGCGCAGCGGATTCCCACGGGGATCACCTTGCCAGACTTTATGTAATGCTTTCACACTGCGGTGATTTTCTGATGATCTGGATTGTAATACTGGCAGTGGATTTCTCCATCTTCCTCCTGTTGTTTCTCCCACTCCCACCCCCTTTCTCCCAAAACCCCGGCTTCAAATGTCCTTTGCAAAGCTCTACTCCAACCAACCACCCGGTGCTCCTCAAACAGGCATAGGTGAAGAGTGCACTGTCGCGCTGGCGCAGAGGGCGAAATTCCAGATGGCTCAGCCCCTACCTGCTGTCGTTGTAGAGAGCTTCTTTTTCTGTCTGAAGCCGCACAAAGCTAAAAGAGGACAAGACACCAAGATAGGGAGAAGTTAAAACACAGAATGCAAGAGAGATTAAAGCTGGTTCCCAAAGGAAAGCCACACCCCCCCCCCACGCAGAACATATTAACGTTCTCTCGGCAGTGGAGGAAGGAGCATTCATTCTAGACTTCTTGAGATGAGGGCAAACTTTCGCTTGTAACAGGAACAGCAATCAAGCAGGTAGGAGCCTGGCTAGCTAACAAGGAGTGAATCCCATTCCTTAGCCTAACATGACCAAGCTCCCCACCTCCAAAACATACCTCTCTTGCTTCTTCTTAAGCTTCTCCATAAACTGCATAAGAGAGAAAAGGCTGTAAGTTCCCACCAGCAAGCCTCACCCTCCCACTAACCCAGACATGTCAAACACAAGGCCCGGGGGCCAGATGCGGCCCGCGAAGTGGTTTCATGGAAACAGTGAGGGAATGGCCCCCGCTGCCTTGGCCCTGGCCCAGGCCGGCTGGGAGCCAATGTTCAATTTTGTGGTGGCCCTCTATGCTGAAACGCATTCAGTCTTAGCTCCACAAGGCCGTCTGGAAACAGCGAGGAACCAGCCCCTGCCGCATCGGCCCCGCCCCCTGGGTGCATGCTGGGGAAGTGTCACCCTTTATGAGGAATGAAAAAATGCACCATCGCCTGGAAGTGGCCATCAAATGGCCCTCGCCTACTTCACATATCCGGCTTGATGGGCTCTGCCCTGGTCCCACCCCTTTCTGCCAGAGATCCACAGATCTGACCCACTCCTGCCCAGGCCCCCATAGGCACCCTTGACACGAATGATGTAGAGCTGGCCACGCCCACCCAGTAGGCCACACCCACTCCATCCACACCCACCCAGTAGGCCGCACCCACCCTGGCCACACCCACCCAGCCCCCCCAAGGGCAACCACAATGCTGATGCGGCCCTCAATGAAATTGAGTTTGACACCCCTGCACTAACCCATCGTCTCCCTAGAATGTGACCAGCCGTACAAAACTCTCTCCCCTCTTACCTTCGAGAGCTCTTGCTGCAGGCGGGAGGTCTCCGTTGTCTTGGATGCCTATAGGAGGGGAAGGAGAGGCAAACACAATGACCTGTCTCAAGCATTCAAAGTCTTTCACCCATCTGGCGATTGTTTTGAACAACTCCGCCAGGTGGTTCCATAAGACAATGACCATATCAGGGCAGTGATGAGACAAGGAAGAGGCAACATCTAGGTTTTCTAGTTTAAAAACCAGAGGATCATTTACTTTGTCCTATCCAACCAAAAGTTCCCCATTCCCTCTTCTGGGAAGAAAAAATAAAAATAAAGGCCTGCATTTGGGAACAAAGGACTGATCGCTATGATCCGGATCCTCTCCTGCTTTCAAGTCTCTGTATTATTCTTTGCTGAAACATTCCCTGCCATGCTAACAACACCGGCCATTTCGCTATTAACAGTTATATTAGATCAGCGCACTTCTAATTCAATATAATTTAGTTATGTTGGTAGAAAATGTATATGACTGCTTATCTTACACATGTTATAAACATGGACAGCTCACGGCAACGTTCCATAAAAAACAGATAAATATAAATAGACAGACCTGCTTCCCCCAAAAAGTACTCATCACCTATCCTGCCACAGCACAATATTCCACAATGTCCAGATCTACTGGTCTCACTAGCACTCTAGCCCAGTGCCTGAGTGAAGAGGTCCTCCAGAAGGCTAATGATTTGGGGCCCTCCATATCTCAGGGAAAAGGATGCTCCAAAAGGCCATGAAAGCCACAAAGGAGAAGTGCTTCCAAGATGGCAACATTTGAAGGAAGAGATCTGGGTGTGCCCACCTTATTTGTCCTACAAATAACCTGGCCCTGTGCCATCAGGTCTTTAAACATGATAACCAGCACCCTGAATTGCATCTGGAAGCCAATGAAACTCATATAGCAGCAGCATTGACATGGGTGAATTGCAAGCTCCCGTGCATGAGGCACGGCTGCATGATGAACCAGGTACAGTTTCTGGATGATCTTCAAGGTTCCACATTAGAGGAATGGGATGGGATGGAATGGAATGGAATGGAATAGAATAGAATAGAATAGAATAGAATAGAATAGAATAGAATAGAATGGAATAGAATAGAATAGAATAGAATAGAATGGAATGGAATGGAATGGAATAGAATAGAAATCTTTATTGTCATTGTGTAACTCACAACAAAATTAAGTGAATTAAATTAAATTAAATTAAATTAAATTAATCCAAGTGAGAAGTGATTTCACATGCAAATCCATTTATTATGAGCCACGGCAACTGGGCAACAAGTGTTTCTGAGCCAAGGTGGTGCAGGCTATTCTGCTGACTGCCGGCTGCCAGCAGTTTGGCAATTCGAGTCTCATCGGCTCAAAGTTGACTCAGCCTTCCAGCCTACCAAGGTTGGTAAAATGCCCAGATTGTTGTGGGCAATATGCTGACTCTGTAAAATCGCTTAAGAGAGGGCTGTAAAGCACTGTGAAGCAGTATATTAGTCTACGTGCTATTGCTATCCTTTGGTACTTGGAAGATAGAGCAGGGATGGAAATGGACAAATGCAATCTGGAGCAAGGCTCCTATGGTCCACCGAGATGCCATTGACCTGCCAGTCGCGGGAACCCCAACCAACATAGCCTGTGGTGAGAAATGCTGAGAGTGGACACTGTTTGACCACATCCCATGGACCACAACCTCCTCAATCTATGGCATGGGATTTCTTCTGCTATCCTGAAGACCAATGCTGAGGTCAGAATGTTCTACTTTCTTCCATCTCCTTGAGTGCTTTCTTTGAAATAGCTCTATTTTATGTGTGGTGAGGAATGACTCCCTGCTCCCTACAAACTACTTCCCAATAGCTGCAGCCTCCAGCTGAGGCAGAAATCAAGAGCAAATATCAAGGAGTCCTTCTTACCTCGAGGCTCTGCAGCTGCTCCTTCAGCAGTATTTTTTCTTCCCTCTCGGTCTGCAGTTTCAGCTCCACCTCTGAGAGAAGCTGCTGGGAAATGGCACTGCTACTGTCACTGTCAAAGGCCGGCTGTTCTGAAGTCGTCTCTGGCACAGTGGGACAAGAATCCAGGGAACCATCCCCTTTCCCGCCACCTCGGTTTTCTGCTTGCCGGGCCACTTCTTTCTCATAGCGCTCCTGTAAAGCTGCAGAACAAGGATCACCCACTCTGAGCAGACCACAGATTCCTTCTTCTGTATCCCTTTTAAATCTGTCTTTTCCGAAACCGGGCAACTTTAACATGTACGGAGCGCAATTCTAGATGGCTGGAAAATTCAAGGCGTGAAATCCACGTCTTAAAAGTTGCCAAGTTTGAAAAAATAACTGGTATTAAATCAAGGATGGGCGCTTTCAGGCCCAGGGACCAACTTTGCCTCCCAAACTCCTTTCCCAGTCTGGAACATCCCTCACTCTTAAAATTCTGCTGATGAAATCCTGTGAAAAAAGCACCCAGTAATAGCCGTGTGATATTTAGTAGCCTTTCATCCAAATTAGAAGTACAATGGTATATAATAGCCAAGTTTCCAATATGCTTATTACAGTGATTTTGTTTTTTAAAAAATCTAGAAGCGAGATAACTTTTTCTCCTATAATACTGCAACCTTGCAGGCAACCTTCCCCATCGTGCTGTATGGACTTCAACGCCCAGAAGTCTCAGCAATGGCCATATTTGGGGAAGGCTGCTGTAGAGTGCTCCACTTGGCCAATCTTCCCCCTGTCCAATTCCTTGGACTTTCCAAACTTCAATTTAAGCCCCCGCAGTTGTATGCCAGTAAGAATGCTACCTGCCATGTTCTTCTGCAGGGCAGAATTCTCTGCCTGTAGCCTTAACAGCTCGCCATCCACAGAGCTGGCTGGGAACGACCCTTCGCCGGCTACCGCTGTCTTCCCTTCCCGAAGAATCTGATTATCCTTCTCCAACTGCTCAAGCTGCGAGCACAGCTGCATTTGAAAGACCAAAGGACTGGATTTCAGCAAATAATACATTTCCCAGCACACTGAACAAAAAGCGCAGGTGACCCACCCGAGGGTGAAATTGGTCTGCAGCTGATCCCAGATCTTCAGGGCAAGAAAAAGCACTTGCTATTCCAGTTCCCCAAAATAAGTCCCAAGAGAGTGCTCTAAAGCAGGGGTCCCCCAACCCCCACGACTGGGCCGTGTGAGCGATGGGCAAGCGTGTGCGTGTGAAGTTCCACTCATGCAAGTGGTGGGCACTTGAGCAGAGGGTGCTTGCACTCACGCACAAAGCTCCACTCGCACAAGTGGAGGGCGCTCGCGCATGCAGCTTCATTCGTGCAAATGGAGCTTCGCGCACAAGCACTCGCCGCTTGAGCAAGTGGAGCTTCGCAAACGAGCTCAAGCAGCCACTGTTCATGTGCCCTCTGCTTGCACAAGTGGAGCTTCATGTGCCAGCACAAGTGCCTGCGGCTTGTGGGAGTGGAGATTTGTGTGCAAGGGTAAGCGTCCTCCACTCATGCCTGAAGCTCCATTTGCGTGAGTGGAGGGCATTTGCGCCTGCCACATGCACCCATGGAGCTGTGTGCGCGCACATGTGGGTACCATTCACACATCCCCTGTGCCGGGGCCCAGCCACCAAGTGGAACCACTGCTCTAAAGAGTTGACTATAAAGGACTTCTGCTCTAAAGGATGTAGTGATCCTTCCCTTCTTCAATGGCTTTGGTTTAATGAACTAGGAGTAATCTAATAAATACACCAAATGCACGGAAATCTTTTCCCCCCTGCCGATTAGCCTGCACTTTTCCAAACTCAATAAGCACGCAAACAGCAGTTGCTAAGAAAAGCTTCCCACTCAGAATGCTTTTTAAATACCACACAAATGACTCAAACACCACACCGTGAGAATGGAAGGAAAAAGAAGAAGAAGAAGAAACATTTGCAGCAATCGGGCTTGCCAATCTGATAGGCAAACTAGGGTGAAAGACAAGGAAAAAATTCTTCACGCGTGCATGAAGAAGTTTGTTTGGGGAGCTGAAGGCTGGTTTTTTTCCTACCCACATTTTATATTTGGTATCTGTTTTGGGCCAGCAGTAGTAACAAACAGAATAAAAGATTAGAAAAGATAAGATGAACCACCGAGGCGAAGAACCTCTCCGGCCTGAGCTGAAGATGTTGGATTAAAAGTATTAAATTATATATGTAGTTAAATATTTTGTCGCAGATTTTAGATTCAGTGCGCAAAATATGTTTTGAAGGACACAGGGGAGTGAACCTAGCGCCTGTCTGCAACACCTTCATAGGGTCTTTTCTCAGAATTGATCCTGAGAAACAGAGCAGCTGCTTTAAGGGGCTCGAGACAAGCCTGCATACCTGTGCCTTCCCATGTACTGTACTGTTTGGAGACTGAGTCTGAAGCGCTGCCCAGGCCTAATTCATTCCGTTCTGACTTTGAGTGGGGTTCCTGCACTTTCGTAACTTACGTTTTGTAAGACCTGATTGTTTTCAAACTGAGGCTGGATAGACATTTGTTAAGAAACTAGACTTTTGAGTTTCTGCACTAGCCAGATGGCTGAACGGGCCTGCCTAAATGGCTCCTTCCGACCCTATGGTTCTAGAATTCTATCTCAGAATTCTGCATGGTTAATCTGCAGTGCTATTTTGTGTCACACAGCACCCCCTGGCACGACCCTGGTGGCACTGCAAAAGGAATCACAGTCCAGTACCTTGGAGAGCTCCTGCATGAGAGTGCTATTTTGCAGCCTGAAGTCATCCTCTTGGCTATGCAGTTTTCCCTGAAGCATTTCATTTTCACTAAGCAGTGCATCCACTTCCTACAAAGTCAATAAAGTTGCATGAGATCCCACACACATAATCACGGTAAGGTTCACTTCCTTCCACTAGATGGCAGGTCCAAATCTTCAAGCAGACTGCGCCTCCTTTGCCAATCTCCTAACAATATTAGGAAATGTTCTCACCTACTACCTTCCTGTATTTTTTTTCCCCTACTCAAATTCTAGATGGTCCATCTTATGCCAAGTGGCCCTTAATTCATGATGGAATGCCAGCAGTTATGCAGTGAGTAGCAGAGAAATTGGTGGCAGGATGTATCCAAGAGGAAGAATAGGTGAAAGAGATATGGAAATCATCTAGCCCAGGGGTCCCCAACCCCTGGGCCATGGCCCACTACAGGGCTGTGGTCTATTTGCAACCAGGCTGTGTGAGCGGCAGGGCTGGCACGCATGCATGTGTGACTTGCGCAAGTGGCGGACCTCTACACTTGCACATGTGCGTGCAGCTCAACTTGCGCAAGTCAAGCTATATGCACACGCAAATGCACACTGGTCCGCTCATTGCATGGCCCACTTCCCTGCTCCTCCCAGGCAGGCTGCCAAGCCACAAAGTTTGGGGACTGATCTAGACCATGGTCAGCTACTTCTCTCAGACCAACTAAAGGGCACATGTACAGGTACTCCTTGACTTACAACAGTTCATTTAGTGACCATTCAAAGTTACAACGACACTGAAAAAAGTGACTTATGACTGTTTTTCACACTCATTACCGTTGCATCCTCATGATCATGTGATCAAAATTCGGATGGTTGACAACAGACTCATATTTATGACAGTTGCAGTGTCCCAGGGACATTTGATCCCCTTTTTCAACCTTCTGACAAGCAAACTCACTAGGGAAGGCCAATTCACTTAACACTTAGCTGTGTTACTAACTCAACAAGAGCAATGATGGCAAGAAAGGTCGTAAAATGGGGCAACACTCACTTAGCAAATGTCTCACTTAGCGACATAAATTTTGGGCTCAATTGTGGTCATAAGTCAAGGACTACCTGTATATGAAAAGTTTTCTTTAAATTTGGGGGCTCCTGAATATCTGCATAAAAAATTATTTATTTATTTAGGAAATTTATTTGCCATCCATCTCGTATCCAACGACTCTAAATCATAGCTTAGCAAAACCAGAGAACTAAGATTGCCCCATTTGATTTAGATTATTGATACTGTAGAGGACAGGAAGACCTGGAGGAACGTTGTCCATGGGGTCGCGATGGGTCGGACACGACTTCGCAATTAACAACAACAACAACAACTGGACAGGGAAGTTGGAATCATGTGGAAGAAGGAAAGAAAGATTTGCAGATGGGTGAGAGACAAAACAAAAGTATTAGAAACAAGTGATGGCAGATAGTCTGGATCCAGGCAAGACTGAAGTTGACATGGCAATTGATACTTTATACTGATACCTTACCTGAGCTTTTTTACTCTTATTCAGAGCCTGTGAAAAGAGGGGAAGTTGTTAACAAAGCACCAATAAGGTTTAGGTACAGATTATACCAATTATACCAAATTCTGATTTTTATCCTGCTTATTATTTACATTTATAGAACCCCTGAAGAATGAGTACAAACTCCTTAATTATAGATTTTGAAATTATTTAACTCTTTTAAAAACTTAGTTATGTCCTTTCACCATTTAGGAATGGGAATGTAATATGAGAGAAGATTGTCCACAACTATTACTGTACAACTTATATACATTTATATATATATATATATATATATACATTTATATATCCATTATTCCACTAAAGAATCTCACTTTACCTTCTGAGCCTTAGTAAATTCCTTGTCTAAATAGGCGACCCGTTGTCGGAGCCCATTTAATTCTAAAAAAATCAAGGAAAAAACAAATCACAATTAAGAAAATATTTTAGAAATAGAGCATCTGTCTTTTGCCATTCTGAACATGTAGGATATGGTATGAAATATGGTATCCGATCCTAAATTTCTGATCATTCTGATTTTTTTGAATGTGTACTTAAAAAGCCCGTTTCTAGCCCTCTGATCTATCAGTCTGCTAAAGGTAAAAGAATTTATGTAGCAATGCATGCTTGCTTGGCCTTGTGAGCACCAAACAAAAGACGCACCAGATTTAGAGGAGTATTGTAGCAAGATATGTAACAGATCATTTTAATTACAAACTGAGAAAAGATTTTTTAAAAACTTTTTATGCCTTCAAAATGATGCAGAGAATATAGTCATATTAAAGATGAGAGAAGCAATAAAGAAATAACAAGAACAACAAAACACTAAATGAAATCTTATTTCCTCTCCAAAAGCCAGAGAAGATGCAAAGAAGTGGAAAAAAAGATGAATGTTTTTACAGCCATTTTCTGAGCACAAACTAAATATACGTTTGCAAAACCCGAGAACTTTATTCTGCTTTTGCTCTTCGCATGGAAGGATGCGGTGCTAAATAGACACTGAAGCCTTATCCTCAAACCACAGGAAAGCTTCCTTGGCAATCTGCCTGCTCCTAAGATTTCATCATGCATTGTCTGTGCATCTTCACTCATAATTTCAAATATAACTTCATATGCCATTTCTTTTAAACAGGAACTGAATTCTATGGCCAGTATTAGATTCTAGCTATTTCTTGTAACTTTTCACACCTATTCATTCCACTGCTTTTTTTCTATTACGCCTTTCCTTGGATTTTGTAAGAGTCATGCTAAATCAGCATGACTGAACCAGCATAACCATTATGCAAACGCAAGCATATATGAATACGTGCAGACATTTTGATGCTTTCACACTGGATACAAAATGTAATGCCCCAGATCACAGCATTACAAGGGAAGTAGAACTGAGGAGAAAGTTTTACCAGCTGTGTTCTTGCGGAGTTCATCAGAGAGCTGGTAATTCTGTGTTCGAAGTTCTAATAACTGGGCCTACCAAGAGAAAGAAAAAAGATTTTAATAAAAAGACAACCTCACCAGGAAAAGTCATGTAGATGACTAGGCAGGATTAAGACCAGCTTGGTTTTTATGAAGATTAAGGCAGGAACCATCAGCTTCCTCAACAGAGATGGCTGCTCAGCTTCATGGCCATTGAGTGCTATGCCACATATCTACTAATTCAGAAGTTGTCCATACGAATGTACATCTTTCCACTATGACAGGGGGCTACGTCAGTTCTGCATGGCTTCACTCCTGACTACAAAAAATATTCTAATCTAGTAGAACCAAGGCTGGGAAACATTGCCAAGTCACGCCAAGGAGTTGAACTAAAACCATGAAGCATCAGGAGATCCACTCTTCAGGTCAGAAAACCCAGCAGTTCATTTCAAAGCTTGGGCTCTGAACACACACTGTTTTGAGATGCAGCGTGCATATGAGTCTTTTGCAAATTGTTGGCAACATTGCTACTAATTCTTAATTATTTTTTTAAATAACTCTGTATTATTCTTGACTGACAAAATGAGATAAAGATTAGAACAGAATTGCCATTACTGAGGGGGCTTTGAACCCAGTTATCCAAAGTCCATCCAGTAAATCAGACTGGCTTTTAAGAGTTGGAGAAAGAAGATGCAAAGCAAATGGGAAGGTTTCTATTGCCCTGTATTGTGATCTATAAAACTTACTCTTATAAATTCCATAGGGGGATTTATTTTTCCCACTTATTCTTTTAATACTGAAGGCCCTAACTGCGTTTGGGTTTCCACCTACCCTTCTAAGGCCTTGAAAACTACACTCCAAAAGAGTCTTCTGCTAACCCCACTGCAGCAGCATATTCTACTGTCAATACATCACACTTCTAATCCTGGGCTGGCAATCACAAAGCTGAGTTGTTGCAGCGACTAAAACAGCTAATATCTCTCTCTAATTCTGTACCCTCCTCAGAACACCCAAAATTCACAAGGTGTGCTGAACATGTGAAAAAAAATCCATATTAACCTCCAGAAAGATATTTGTACTTCAGCACCAAATGAAAATTAAGTATTAACTGAGAGTTGCAAAGAACTCTGCAGGTATCAAAAGCTTATCTGAGATAAAATATTTGTCTGAGCCAATAATTATGAAACCCATAACTGACCAAGTTCCTGTATAGCACTGCAAAAAATGTAGTGTCCACATATGCTGAATTTTAAAAAAAAATATTATTAAACATCTATGCTGCCCATCTCGCCAAGGTGAATATTATCCTGATAATAAAACTGATCAACTCTTTTACTTGTAGAATTTTCCACCAAGCACAAAAGATTATCTGTAATCATAAGAGGAGAGATAAAAGAGAGAGGTGGAATATATGGTCTTGCCATATAAAATACAACATCTTGAAATGGGAACACTATTCATCTTTTATCATGTTACAACTGAAAAGGTACAAAGGCAAGAAAGGAGCTGAAATGGGTCCTCAGTGAACCTTGAAAACAAGCAATGCATAGTAATGCAACTCAGGGCAGGTGGGTGGGTATATCTATGCATTTACTCAGAGTACACAAAGACAGACTTTTTCAAGGTGGTGCACACCCAATATGTTCAACTGTTATCACTGTTGGTTCTACGATTGGGATTTCTAATCTGAAACACCCAGACAGGTTTGTTAAAGCTTAATAAATACAATCCAAACAGCAGAGCTTTTTAAATACTTTTGCAAAAGAAGAGATGCTGATAAGCAGAGTTTGTAATGTCGGGCATGAGAAAAAAAACTGTCTCTGGAAAGATTCCTTCTCTTATATAATGATAATGATGATAATGATAGAGTTGGAAGGGACCTTGGAGGTCTTCTAGTCCAACGCCCTGCTCAGGTAGGAAACCCTATCATTTCAGACAAATGGCTGTCCAGTCTCTTCCTAAAAACCTCCAGTGTTGGAGCATTCGCCGCTTCTGGAGATAGGTTGTTCCACTGGTTAATTGTTCTAACTGTCAGGAAGTTTCTCCTTAGTTCTAGGTTGCTTCTCTCCTTGATTAGTTTCCATCAGTTCCTTCTTGTCCTGCCTTCAGGTTCTTTGGAGAATAGCTTGACTCCCTCTTCTTTGTGGCAACCCCTAAAGAGACATCAACCCCATTTTCCTTTAGGCCACCCCAGTAAAGTGATGACTAGCCAATTCCGCATCTGTGGGGGCGGAGAGCAAAAATGAGGCAATGCAATACCAACCAAGTCTCCATGCCGATCTGGGGAGGTGGCTCTGTTCCAAGAATCTGATTTAATTACGCCCACCGGGACCAGAGCCACCCCCATCTATTAATTACTGTATTCCCAAGGCAGCCTTCCACCATCTCTGTCCTCCAGATGTGCTCCACTACCACTTCCAGAAGCTACCCTGCGGAGGGATCTTGGGAACTGTAGTCCAAACCGAACCAGCTGGGGCAGGCTGGCTTGAAACGAGCCTTGGAAGGTTCGAAACGCAACTGCGGAGGATGTGCGTAGAGCTAAGCTGGGAAAGCAGCTGCGGTGGGCTTGCCCGCTCATTAGCGGAACCTCGGATTTTGCTCTAGGCTCCGGGGGAGCAGCCCGGAAAAAAAGACGTTTCCCCTATGCGCAACTCTTAGGACGTCGCGCCCCCTCCTCTCGCCTTTGCAATTCCCTCCCCCACGACCCGTCGCCATACTCTCCGCTGGGAAAGCTTCCCGGAACCGGAGCCCACTCCTCCACGGTGTGAAGCCCCTGGGCTCGACACTAACCGGTGGGGTGAAAGGGATGGGGCAGAGGACAATTGACACACGGCGCGTCTCTTTCCCCACTCCCGTCCCCTTGCTCCGAGGATGCTTCACAGGTTCCCCGCCGGCATCTCTCGTTTTTCTGCTCCCCCGCCAGCCAGACGCACCTGCATGCGCTCGAACTCCTCTTCGGACAAGGCCTGCGCCATCTTCCCTCCCCCGCCGCCGCCGCCCCCCTCCGGCTCGGCTTCAACTTGGTACGATCCAAAAGAGAAAGGAAGAAGGAATCGCGAAGCCTGCCCCTTCCCACTCGTGGAGAAGTATGACGAGGGGGCTTTAAGAAGATATCATAGAGGAACAAGAGAGAGAGAGGACGGATGTTTTGAGAGACGGTCTCTGTTTGTCTGCACCGGAGAGAGGAACAGCGGAACCGGCGGCGGACTGGAGCTTGGGGGCCGGAAGTCAAGAGGCATAGAGATGCGGGAGGGCACTAATTAAGAAGGATGATTCACAACTGGAGTTTTGGCGCCTGAGGAAGGAGGGAGGGATGAGGGGTGTGCGTAAGAGGAGAAAGTGTACTACTGCGGTTCGGATACTCCCATAGAAACAGAAGCCTAGAAAGGATCCAAGCGTTTTCCTGTGAGGGTCATAGAGATGCCGGAAGTAACAGCGGTTGAGCTCATAGAAATAGGGAGCTAAGCTGCGCGCTGTGTCATATAGATTAAAGCGAAATGGCCGAGGAGGTGGGTGAAGGAGGTGACTTCGGAAGTGATCAAGTAACAATTGAAAAAACGCGTGTCCTCGGCGTCTTCTCGTTCCTGGGGTCACGTCACAGTTATTCTCTCCTCCGGTATGAGATGTAAAGTCGTCAGTAGCTGACGAGCTGCGCATCCTCTTCTGCCTCCGCTGGGGATCATATCTCGAGTTCTCCCCGGATCCTTTTAGGAGGTTCTCTGGGGGTGGAAGCGCTTTAATTGGCTAGGGGCGCCTTACAACGAAGTATCGACTTCAGCAGCCCCTCGCAGTCTTCCTGGAGATCGTGAGGATGGAACCGAAGTCTTCTTGCATGCAAAGCGGGTGTTCAAGAATTGCTCCCCGTTAACGGGAATACTAACGGATAAAGCCGCGCAGGGGCACTTTTTGCGGGAAACAAAGTAATCCCATACGAACTACATTGTTTAAGGCCCCTTTCGTTCAATAACATTGCAAATTATGTAGAAGAAGGTTCTGTGAGGGTACAATCCTAAACGTAGGTACCAAGGGAATACTTAAGACTTACTATTGTGCAACTGTTCATAGGGAAATAAAGTCTCTTCAGAAGATTCCCAGGTCTTAATATATTTGATTTATACAAGATAACTACATCTGTTAAAGCTATTCATATCTCACACTAAACCAGATTTACTTGTTTGATACAATATAAAAAAAGTATGTGAAATAAATTCCTTTTTTTTTCCAGAGAGAATAAATTAAATGGAAGCTTTATCCATGTAGCACATCCCATTCTGGAGCTGTTCTCCCCTCCCCATTTATTTCCCTTGTGATTAACAGTTTGAGGTCCACTCACTAAATCCCATTAGGTGGATTAGAGTTTGAATTAAATCTACTAAATTTTACATCTATTTTCTGCATATAATCAGTTCAAACTTTTCTAATTTTCCAAATTATAAGCACTTGTGAACTAAAATCTGCCAATTTTTCTGTAACATTCATCTGCGTTGAATGTGCCACAAGATAATATTTAGACTTCAGTCTAACAAATGTCTCTGGGAGGGCCACCACCATCTGAATTAATAACCAATATCGGGAAGTTAACAACAATGAAGAATGGCTTCTTATAGTAATAATTTTGAATCGGTACCATTATGAATAAGACTGCCAGCCTTGAAAGCCATCTTATCCAGCCATTAGCAGCTTCCCAAAATGCATGAAATGTACTGGCCACAAATACTATGCTCTCAAGGCAGAGAATATTCCTAATTTCTAAAGTGCTACAAAAGAGATTCAATGTAGTTGTAGTCCAAACTAGCATTTGCCTGTCCTTTGGAAACTGTTGCCACTAGAAGTTAATTTTGTTAGCTTTATCATTCATTGACTATATGGCAAACCATGCATTCATTAAATATGTATCTGTTTAGGAGAAATAACTTTGTGTTATCTAAATACAAAGTTATTCCTTGTAAACAGATACTTTTGTAAAGTATCTGTTTGATTCCTTGAAAGCCTACTAAGTAGCATGCTAGATCAAAAAAATCAGGTTCCTATATCTCAGTAAATAAAAACATAAATATAAACATGTCATTTATGAAGGATGCTTAATCTTTAACCCTGAATGGCTGACAAAACTTAATTCATATTATTTCTCTTGCCCATAACTTTGGTGAGTGTATCCCTTATTTGTGAATGTTTGAAGGAAATATGGTAATAGACTTCATATATGACCCAAAATTGATGCATTCAGCACTCTAGAATCAGAAATGTGCATCTGAATGCCAAGTGTGACACTAAGTGTAACACTGACTTAGTAACCCTGATTTTATTGAATCTAATAAAAGCATGGACTAAACACATCAGTTACAAAGATTGCATTTGAGATTTTTTGTTGTTCTGTTGCTGACTTCAGAACTGAAACTAAAATAATGGTGGTCAATTGGAAACCCAGAGATTGAATCACATTGTTAAAGTGTGGAACAACTGTTTTCTCAGCCATCCTTTATGTAAAATAAGGTTAATGAATATGAATTTTCACCAGCTTGAATCCAGATCCTTTTTTTCAACATGAGAAATCTTGATCTTTTGATCACCAACCAGATACGGCTTTTTTAAAAAAATAGAGACACCTTAAATTTTGCAGGACGCAGTGATGAAACAGGTGGCATAATTCGCTATAGAAAATGGTCATTGTTCATTTATTTGTTTAGAAGCCTTTAGTATTGGTAATTGGAAATGTTTAAACATACAAAATAAAACAATAGAAAGTGGTATCTGGGTCATTAAGGATGTAGAATCCACAAAAGAGGAAAAACAGTCTCCCCAAATTTGCAATTCTTCTCCTTCTTTCATCCCCTGAACAGTCCAACTCAATGCATGTTAAGAACTGAAACCACTTGTCCAATCTAGTATCTCCAGGTTGCTCTGTCCTCTGCCGTCTTTCTTCTTGCCAACATGCTAAAACACCACTATGCAGCATCTCATTTACACTGACCACCTAATCCCATTTCCTTGTCTCCTGCTCAAGATCTCAGCTGAGAAGCTGCCCAGATACTCATAATTCTCATTCCAAAATTGCTACCTACATTATCACACCCTCCTGTAAAGTTCAATCTATATCCCATGCATCTTCAGACCCAACTCCTCTTAGGAAGTTCCTCCCAGTTATCCTTCCTGAAAAACAGAAGTGCCAAGCAACTTTTTAAATCTAGGCATCCAATAATATTGGAGATCTAAGAGTTCATGTGTTCAGATAACCTTTTGGAACAGGGTCATCATATCTTCAAGAGCATTCATATACATGATGTGATGAAGTTTCCAGTGAAGCCCAAATGATTGTCTTTGCAACAATTTTTGCCCATTTTTTTAAACACCCAGAGAACAGGTCATAGATCTGCTTCCAGTATTTTTAGTCTAACAAATCAGAAAACAGTCCTGTTTGTTAGGTTTCTGCTAACATCAATCTAGTAAGCAAGAAATTATTTTAAAAAAACTGATTACAGTTTCCTTTATCTTACCAAAACCAGGGGAGGTGGCAATTATATCCTACTGAGCAGCCATGACTCTTCAATAGTTACATGTGCAATTCCAAGAACGTTTTTTACTTTTCTTTGCCCTACACCTTTGCCCAGTGAAGTTCCAAGAGGTACCGTCTTGTTGCTCTCCCACATGGTCTAGCCGTATCATGAAGTAGAGTGTCAAGTAACTCAAATATTAAATGCAAAGTAGAAAGTGGCAGTTTAGTAAAACTTGGAAACCATGACAGGAAAAGGCTGAGATGTACAAATTAAAAAGTCCAATATCTATATAAAATAAAGCTCTCTCTCTCTTTTTTTTTTTTTAAAAAAGGTAGTGGCTCTCTGCTTTCCAAAAATGTTGCAAAAGAAGTCCACTTTCCTCCTCCCCCTCCCTTCCCAATTCTGCCCAAATTATATACAGGAAAGATGCAAGAGTAAAAGGTTAAAGTGAAGGAATCAAGGTTTGCGATCACATGCTCCTTGCACAGCATTAAAGCAACACCTTATTGAAGTTCAGAATAGGTACGGGCAGTGCTTTTTTTCTAAAAAAAAAAAAAAAAAAGGTGCCAGAACTCACACACATCATACAATCCGCCTTGCCTACCCTACAAGGTTCCATCCAAAAAAGGTGCTGGAACTCCATTCTGGGCGTTCTATGAGAAAAAAAAGCCCTGGGTATGGGAGATGTCCCAAAGGTGTTTTTCACGATGCAACTGGACTTTCTTGGGGTTTTTTTTGAAGATGTTTCACCTCTCATCCAAGAAGCTTCTTCAGCTCTGACTGGATGGTGGGGACTGCACACCATCCAGTCAGAACTGAAGGTGCTTCTTGGATGAGAAGCGAAACGTCTTCAAAGAAAAACAAGAAAGTCCAGTTGCTTCGTGAAAAAGCATCTTTGGGACAACTATGACTGAGAATCTCCACAGACAGCTACGGGAGATGCACAAGTTTATCACACTGCATTTCTGAACCTTAATGGGTGCAGATAACATACAAATTGTCCCACAATTTGTAACAAAATTCTGTTTCTACTGTGTTAAGAAGAAAGTTTGGTACTACATGGTTTGAGCCCACCTTCTATACAGGAAGAAGGTTTAACCGTGTGCCCCCATCCTTTTTGTTAAAGAGACACCTTTAAAAATACAGAATATTATGAAATGAGTGGTACTTCCAGAGGGTTATAGCCTACAGCAGCCTCCAAGTTTTGAAGCTGATGAGTGTAAGCAGCAGTCTGCAATGGGTCAGAACAAGACATGTAAAACAGCTCTTCCATCCAAGGGCTGCCATCATGAATCATCTTCCATGCTAAAGCTGGAACGGCGGCTGCTGCCCTTTGAGGCACCAGGAGAGACAGAGGAAAGAAGTGGATCCGAGGCACCCAGTGGGGACAGAGCATTCCCGTCGTCCATGAGAACATCTTGCAGGGCTCCCCCATCAGATCCCAGTGCGAGACCCAGACCCAGCTCTTCCGCTGAAAAGGGCAGGTCCAGGGACTCTGCAAATGATGGAATTGGATCTCCTCCCAAGGACTGTGCCAGAAGCCCCTGGGTGGAAGTCAAAGGCAGCCCGTGCATCTGGACCTGAAGTTCCAGCTCCTGAAGAGGAAGTTACAGACAAGCTTGTGAGACTCGGCAGCAGGCTTCAGCTGCATTCTCTCTATCCCAGACATGTCAAACACAAGGCCCGGGGGCCAGATGCGGCCCACAAAGTGATTTCATGTGGCCCGCAAAGCCATCCTGGAAACAGTGATGGAACGGCCCCCGCTGCCTTGGCCCTGGCCCAGGCTGGCAGGGAGCCAATGTAGAATTTTGTGGTGCCATCTATGCTGAAACGCATTCAGTCTTAGCTCCACAAGGCCGTCTAGAAACAGCAAGGAATCAGCCCCTGCTGTCGCCCCCCCCCCTGGGTGCATGCTGGGGAGGTGTCATTCTTTGTGAGGAATGAAGAAATGGACCAGGCCTTGGCGCTTGCCCTGGTCCCATCCCCTTCTGCCAGAGACCCTCAGATCTGTCCCACTCCTGCCCAGGCCCCACCGGCACCCTTGACGCGAACGATGTAGAGCTGGCCACGCCCACCCAGTAGGCCACACCCACTCCATCCACGACCACCCAGTAGTCTGCACCTTCCCTGGCTGCACCCCCCCACCCCCCCCGGAGGGCAACTGCAATGCTGATGCAGCCCTCAGTGAAATTGAGTTTAACACCCCTGCTCTATCCCATCCCCTCAGCAGCTCTCCTACCTGTACTCGTAGCTGCAGGCTGCGGTTAGCTTGCTCTAATTTACGCTGCCTCAGCTCCATCTCCCTGGAGCGTTGCTGTTCCTTCTGCAATTTGCGGATGTAATCTACTGAGGCCTTCAGGATAGTCCCTTTATTCCAGCGCATTTCCCTAAAATATGCAGTGGGAGGGGACATAAGAGATCAGGAATTAAGTGTCCTTAGATCTTACTCCATTTAATTCTGGAAAGGTAATTTCTTTCAACTGGGCCCAACAAATGTCTTGTACTGTTAAATTTCCAATGCTCCCAGTTGGCATGGGCAAAAGACAACATTCAGTTCTAGATAAACTTTTCATTTATACCAGCAGTGGGAACTGAATGACAGTCACGGTATGACTGAGCCAACACAAGCTTCTCAGGGTAGTGGAATTGCAATGACTTTCTATATACAACTGTTTCCCACACCATTTTATTTTATTCATGCATTCAGTGTTATATATCACCAGCTACTGAAGTGTTCACAAGATAATTTCTACACCTGCTGAGTCGTGGTTAGTCTAGAGCAGGGATAGGCAACCTTGGCTCTTTTATGACTCGTGGACTTCAACTCCCAGAATTCCTGAGCCAGCCATGCTGAGGGGAAAGGGAGAGGCTTCCAAGCTGAGCCATGTTGGCTCAGGAATTCTGGGAGTTGAAGTCCACGAGTCATAAAAGAGCCAAGGTTGCCTACCCCTGGTCTAGAGGGTTGTTAAATAAATTACAACTGGCTATGACGATTATTGTACTGTATAATACATAATCATAGTTGACTTTATACCAAAATCGAATCAAATCACCTTTTAAAATATGTTTTATACATCACTCAGGGAAGCTCAGTGGATTACACAATGAAGCCTATACAAGCATGTGTCCCTTTTTGCAGATAAAACTTATTTTGATTAACTAGTTATCATCAAGCTGTCATACTTACGGATCATTAGATTTGGGGATGAGGGTCCCCAGTTCTTTAATTCGATCATTTATATTAAATCGACGACGACGTTCAACTGCAAAAAGAGAGACTTGTGTAAGAGGCCCTGTGGAGAGACAGAGGACCCCTGCTTTTGCTACAACTATTAACAATAAACGCATATAATGCCTTATTTTTTCCAGCAAGCAAAGCAATTTGCTTTTATAGCATCCAACTGCATCTCTCAACATTCGTTAGATAAATTCCCCATTATGCCAAGCTACCTTCAAAGTGAGGTATGTATTGGGATTGTATGGTATTATTCTTGGGCACAAAATTCAACTTCCAGATTCTTTAAAGGCAAAGGTTCCCAGCCTCCTGCTTCTAAACATATATTTTGAAACACAGTATAAAGGGAAAATGTCAAAAATCTCAACCCACATGAATCTGCTTTAAGTTCTTCTGAGGCTGTTTCTCCAAGGGCTTCTGTTATTCAAATAATGCCACTGAAAAGTAGAAAGGGGGTTTCTAAGCAGTGGTGCATCTTTAAAGCGGCTCAGATATACTGCAATCTTTTTTTCAAAGCAAGCAAAATATTGTATTTGCCTAGGCAGTTTAACACTTCGGTTTTAAATCGGGGGTCTAGCTCTTATTAAATTACAAATAATTTTTGATCTGGACTGAACTGATTGACAGGGTAATGACAGGCATATAAATATTCTTAAAAATAAAGATGCAAAATTATTTCAGTGGCTGGAAAATAGGGATCTCTGTAGTCTTTTATTTCCCCATAATTAACAGGGAACTGAGTTATGCACAAAATAAGCTATTCAGAGAGCCAGTCTGATGCAGTAGTTAAGGCATCAGACTAGTAGTTAAGGCATCAGGCTGTGTGTTCTAGTCCGACCTTAGGCACAAAGCCAGCTGGATAACCTTGGGCTAGTCACTTTCAATCTTAGGAAGGAGACAATGGAAAATCAATTCTGAAAAACCCGCAGGCACTTGTCCAAGCAGACTCTGAGAAGTGGACATGATGAAGAAAAAAAATCCAGTACTGATTACTGTTTTATTTTTTTTAATTTATATCACATCTTTATTATATTTATAAAAGACTCAAGGCAGCGAACATATCTAATGCTCCTTCTTCCTCCGACTTTCCCCACAACAGCAACCCTGTGAGTTGAGTTGGGCTGAGTGTGTGTGACTGGCTGAGCTGGCTTTCATGACTATACTTTATTATGTTTACTATTTACTATTACTATACTTTTTTTTT